GTTTTGGTTTAACATGTTTGTGTTTAATGTAGAAAGTTTTTCATGTGTCATCAGAACGGATAATATTATTTTTCATTAGTTTCTTTTCTAAGTAAAATTATCTACTGTACTTGCGGTTCTAACTCCTCGCATGCCTCCCTCCTCTGTTTTGTTTGGTTCTTTTGATCATACATCCCTCTGATTACCTGATCAAAATAAGACTTTTTCCCATAAAATGGGCACACATACAGCGTTTCACCCTTATTTCAGGCTTTAAAAACCTTACGAAGCCCATTCAGACCTCAGATAAAGAGCCCTGCTATCTTATGGGTTCTCTGCTTCCAAATGGCATTATGGACAGTAGAAAATATATAGCTAATCAGAAACTTTAATTTTATATTGATTGTAAACATCATGTGTTTATTATAGGAGTTTCCAGATGTCTTGGAATGTACTGTATCACATGCAGTGGAAAAGATAAATCCCGATGAAAGAGAAGAAATGAAAGTTTCTGGTAAAGCCCAGCCTTTACGATTCATTATGTTATATAGTGGAAGTGATAGTGAGGTTTTGTCAGGCTTGGAATAAGCCTTTCTTTGCTTCTGGTAATGAATGACTCAGTCACTAAGTGTGGGGAATAGAAAGATTCTTTTTAAATGTAATTTTAATGTCAACTCTTGGAGTTAATAGGAGGTCAGTGTTAGCTACTTCAGTGGAATCAGAATAGAACTTTGCCTTACTGTTCTTCACAATGGTTTTATTAGTTCACATATCAGACTTCAGAGAAGTAGAATGATTAAGGTGGAGGAAATAGAAATAAAGGGAAGTCTTAAGAACAGCGTCTACCCAAAGCAGGCAAAAGCCCTCTCTTCCTGATGGGACATTGCCAGACAATGCTGAGATCACCTGGGAGTTTAGAAAGAGGTCCAGGCAACAAGTTGCATGAAGAGAATTGAAATACATATTGTACCCGTTCAACAAATATATCAAGTGATGACATTCCAGAGACTATGCTAAGCTAAAGGAATGAAAAGATGCACTGTTCTTGCCCTCAACTTATAGTCAGCATAGCACAGTCATTCAAAGCTTGAACTTGACTAGATTGAAATTCCTGTGTGTGCAAACTGGTATAATCTTGGGCTAACAAGTTATATAACTTCTCGGAGTCTCAGTTTCTTCATCTACAAAAATGGAGATGCATCTATTTCACAGGCTTCTTTGTAAGTTAAATGAAATAACAAAAGAAGCACTTACCATAGTGCTTGGCACAAAGTGCTAGGTAGCTATTATTTATTACCATTTGTGGTTGTGTTGTGGTTGTTACTATTTTTATTGGAATGAACATGAAAGATGAGATAGGGTATTGTCTTTTGACTCTAATAATAATTACCATTTGTTGAGCCTCCCTTTGTACCAGGCACTGTACTTGGTACTTTTTGGTTATATTTCTTATTCTTAAAACAATTACAAGGTAGGTCTGTTATCCCCATTGCACAGATGACATTAAATAACTTGAAAGTTGTCATACAGCCAGTAAGTGGTTGAACCAGGAATCCATTCAGGTATGCCTGACTGACTCCAGAACCCATTTCTTTCTGTTAATTTCACATTGCTATTTGTGTTGGAAAGGAAGTAAAAGGAACATTTTCTCTGTGATTGATTGCAGTTCAACATGGTTTAGATCCATCTTGGAGCTCTTACAAATTGTTTTTAGTTCCTGGAGGGCTTCAATTTTTTGATAGGCATCAAAATTCTCCCCATATGAAGAGCATTCCTCTCTCTACTTATCTAAAAATGCCTCTTCTTTGAGAGAGAGGAGACCATTTCAAATGGCACAAATTTATGATCAGAGCGATTGTGGTGGGAGCATTCTCATAGAGTATAATTATAGGAGTTAAGGTTGGACCAAAGTGGTGAAGATTGACTCACCTGGTAGAGCTGTGATGGCTTTTAAATAGACAAGTAGCATGAGGAAAGCTATGTTTTAGGAAGATTATCTAGCAGTAGAAAGAAAAGGACAAATAAAAGAAATGTCTAAGGAAAATTTGTTGTATATGTTGAGTGCCAAGCACTTTATGTAAGGTATTTCATTAGCCTGTTTTTTCTTCATTCCTGCTCTCCTACTACTCCCTCTATTTATCTATTACATAAGTTTAGATTTTTGAACAGTGGATTTACATAAAGTAAATGTAGACATGTAACGTTGAGTTGAAATCAAGCCAAAGCCTCAGTCATATAAATATAGAAAACTACTCAACTTTTCCTGGTTGGAATTGAAGAAAGAAATGCCAATTAATGTGGTCCTGGGTAGGTATGTATTGTACCTACT